GATATTAAACAGGAATGCCAAAATACTTGTTTTTTTTATTTCTCTTAGATTTATTTTTTAATTTTCATTCATTAATCTTTGCAACTTATTAAAAGTCTTCGTTAATGCAATGCCGGAGTCAAAATGCTAAAATACTGTTTGATTATGATCTTTTTAACCTCTCTAAAACACTTATTCCCATTTTCTAGACAATGTTTAACACATTGAATGGAACATTATGTTATACAGACACAGTTTTTCTAACTTATCAAATCTTGAATATACATCTGCATTAAATATGGAGAGCTTTGTTGTTCATAATAAACTTATCAAATTGAGTTAAATTAGTGAACAATACCATGAAATTGTGACCTCTAACTAAGTAGACAAAGATACCTACATACATGGTTTTAAATTGTCGTCCGCAACATATGTATTACGGTCATAATATTGTTGTTGTGGTGCTTTCTGCAATCGCAACAATTCGCAATTGTGATATACTTTTAATACCCTAAAAACTCTATAACATAACTGCAATAGATCCCTAAGACTATTTTATTCCACTTTTCTTTTTTTTTTGTTAAAAAATACATAGAGTCAAGTTTTAATCTTTTAATTTAATAAATTTGGTCATATGGAATGTTAAGAGAGAGAGAGACAACTAATGATGATTAATTAGAATGCTAAGAGGGGCATGATGCATTTTAGAAAAAGGAGAAAGGAATTTAGAGTAAAAAATTAAGAAAAAAAGTTTGATTATAGAATTATTTATTTATATTATGTGTAAATATATAATAATTTCACATCGTCACGGTTGCGATCCGCATTGTAGCAGCAACAATGGTCTCAACCACAGTGACAGCAAGAACAACTGCAACCACAATTGCAATTTTGAACCAGGCCTACATGTATTTAATTTCAAGACTAGTATCAATTTCACCTGTCAATGTCAATCATGCTTATCAATGATCAATTTCACCCCAAAATATCCCATTCACAGACATTGTTCTAGATTAGTTGATCAAATTGCAGCTCCTTTGGCACGTTTGGATAAGTTATACTATTTATGGACGAAAAATACTGGGTACTTAGATGTTGGTAATGGTAGATAAATAAAATGATTTTCTAGTACTAGAACTATATTTATTTCAGATAGGAGTGTGTGCACACCACTCTTATTGATCTGCTTAATTTTCAAATTCTGCAGTGCTCATAATTTTAAACAAGGAAGACAACTAGTTGTTCATGGTGATAATAATGAGGCATATCGCAGGGAACATGTTGATATCATGCTTCTAAACATTTGTACACTATCATTTTATATTTTCCAGGTGTATTCAACAGAGTGAACATCATTTTACTGTCTGTATCTCACCAACACTCCCCCAAAAAAAGAAAATAAAGTGTTTGCACTTTCTCAAAATAAATATAAGGAACAACGTTCTACCAAATTCATGTTCACCCCATTATGAGATAATCTTTTGTTTATAAATTCAATGCCAGTTTGGTAACCGTTGAGTGTTAAACAACTAGAGGATGGTCTTTATCTTTTGTCCCCAGAGAGATCCAATTTAGTCCATTGGGCACGCCTTAAGAAAAAGAAGAGAGTTCCAGCTTGACAGAGCAGCCCACAAATTAGACCAATCCATAAACCCTATATCATAAAGCAAATTCAAGACAGAAATAATAATAAAACTTACTAATCTAAAATGTCCTAGAATCAAGATCATTCTTCTTGATATAAGAACAAAAAAGAACCGGAATGTGCAATAAATATTTTATTTACCTTATACTGCAAATTGGTCGTAAATCCTAGGAGACATGATATTGGTAAGCCAACAAGATAAAAATTTGCAAGGTTAATATAAGCAGCTGAGTGTTGCCAACCACATCCTCTGGTTGCACCTGTGGTATTAAACATAATTTTTAAACACAATTTTTAAACAATTTTTTTAAGAGATTGTTCATTTTGTAAAGATAATGCAGGTTAAAAGAAATGAGGAATTCAAACCTTGCATGACACCTTGGACAGCATCTAGTACTATGGAAATGGCAAGCAAGGGTGTCACTGAAGCAAACTCCTCTTTGATTGTAGAACTATCACTGAAAAGCTGAATCCAGATATTATGACCAAATCCAAGTGCCAAAGCAAAACAGAAACTTAGGAGGAAAGAGAGCTTGACAGTGACATTCATTGCATGTTTAGCTAGTTCCGGGTTGCCTGCTCCCAATTCATTGGATACCCTTGTGCTATTCATGTTCAATTTCAACTTTTTAATACATGTACTATAATGTTGATTCAGAAAATAAGCAACAATGCGACCAAAAGGGAATGTGTTCATCCAACTAACCTTGCAGCTGCACCAAGACCAACAGGAACCATGTATGCAATGAATTGTGTGTTTAAACTGCAGATATTTTTGAAGATTATAACAATAATAAATTATATTGAACTTTTATTTTTCAGTAACAGAAATATAATGCTATTAGAAGCATACCATATTGCAACCAACGAAGTTGTTATCTGCGAGTCAGGCAACAATCCAGCTAAGAAAACCAAAACTTCAAAAGCCCAATACTCCAAACTTGCATAACATAAACAGATGTCAGATAGTAATAAGGATATTACATTCTTACATTAAAAATTTAAAATTAAATTACAACAATAATCTTTTAATCTGAATTGCTAAAAGTGTTTTAATCTATAAGTTTCGTGTTAAGAAAATTAGGTCACTTCTAATTTTGCTTTCTAATATCAATAATCTAAGGGTGTAAAGTAGTTTTATATTGTCATCCAATACAAATCATCATTTATAATAAGTCGATAACTTTTGTAATAAATAAGTAAAAAATCATACCAACAATGATATTTGATTGGTTAACATTACATTGTGCATCACCATTAAACTCAACCAAAAGGGATAGCAAAGTAAAAGGTTGTTAGAAACTCATACCATACCATTGCAGCAGAGGGCAGGGCTAGTTTCATGTTTGTAAATACGTAATGGAATGAGTGCATTGAAAATCCTTGCCATGTCTGCTTGAAATTCTTAGCATACATGACATACATGGCCAGTAAAAGCATTGACATCCATTGTGAAATAGAAGCTGCAACTGGTGCACCTGTAAAACTCAGACCTGACCACTGAACCAAGGCATATGCAATACCAATATGAATCAACAATGGAAGAGCTGAGAGTACAACCAATGGTATTACCACAGATTGTGTCTGGAGAAACCTCAACATATTTTGCAATAAGCCATATGCAAATAATCCTGGGACCAGAAACTTCATATAAAGAGCAGTTGTTCTTGCTATGTCATGAGATTGATGAAGCAGCACTAGGATGGGTTCTGTATAGAGCCAAATAATGGATATAATGATGGAAAAAATAAGAGATATGATGCATGAGGCTTGTAGGTAAATTCCCAGCATTTGGTATTCCTTTGCACCAAATCCTTGTCCGCACAGTGTTTCCAGTGCCCCACTCAAACCAACCTAAGACAAGGATAAGGGTATCAACTATCAAGTATCAACCTGGAGTTTAATCTAGTAACAACATTTAGTCTTGTTGCATTCAATTCAACGAGCTTTGAGACAATTGTTTTGAATTATGATGCTAAATTTGCACTAACATTTATAAGCCAAAATTCAAGTATAGAAATAAAAATTAGAAACAATAATTGACATTTAACCAGAAAGTTGCATCCTTGTTAATCTCCCCTACAGGCTATGTCAGATGATATAACGTTTGTTATTTGTATGAGGCATGCTTGTTATGATATAATCTATAATTATAAATTCTTATCTTATTTCCTGTTTTAAAAGTGTATAATTGCTACTCTACAAATTCTAAACATCATAAATACAGGAAACATGAGAACTTATTAGGTAGTCTTGAACCAAATGATCCTAGATTTTACGGAACATGTTGAAAAACTTAAATATATGTCATATATTTCAACATAAATATGTCATATAATGATTGGTTGAACCATAGATACTTCGTACTCTCCCACTACCTAATAATTTCTCAAGAAACACATCTTAAGTTTTTTATGGCAATTGGAACAGCTAAATGAATTGTTAAACAAAAAACATTAATGGGCAATTGGTTACGTAGATTTACAAACATTTATAGTGATTTGTGAAACTGGTGTTAGAACAACTACTGATATTGAAACGGTTGTCATATGGTATTATGATTTTTCTATCCTGTGAACTAACTGAATAGATTATAAGAAATTTAGGCAAGGAAGAGAGAGAGGAATTACCATGACTGCTACGCCAGTGACATTGAACCATGAGTTTGCGAGAGTAGCACCAGCAAGCTGAAGCTCGCCAAGGTGACCAACAAGCATGACAGAAACCGAAGTGATCAAGTAATAGAACAAGTTAGTAAGAATCATTGGTAGTGAAAACAAGAGTTGATGCTTGGCTTCTTCCATGTCCAACACTTTATTCCACCATCCTCCAACTTGGTGTTTTGTGTTTTGTTTTCCAATATCAGTTTCCCTCAATAGAGGTGTTTCTGTGCCATATGAACTAGGACTTGCCACCATCTTCTCTATTTCCTCTTTCATCTGCTCAACTTTATCTATACTTATGTGATGAGGAAGCCCTTGAATGATTGGTGATCTCTATATATACCTTCAAAAAACCTCTATTATGCAATACTGTGTCTTAAGATATGAGTTTAGAATTAAATCCAAATATCTATTATGCAATACTGTGTCTTAAGATATGAGTTTAGAATTAAATCCAAATATTCAAAACTAACTTACAAAGTAGAGATTATTATCTACTTTTATACATTATTTTAGTCATATCACTCTTAGATTTTCAATCCTATGCACCAAAAGTTACTTTTTTTAAAAAACTTTATGACAGATAAATGCTGAAATTTTCAGACTTTTTTTTTCTTCTTTTTTTGTATAAAATTATAAAAAGATGAATATGATCATATGAGAAATAACTTTGCTCATGCCAAGTGGTCGTGTAACTTTGGACCATCGCGGTTGTATCTATTTGGATCAACGATATTTAACTTGGGGTTGTAGCCACGTAATGAATTTCTTTTTCATAATTTCCACTGGTTTACTTTGTCTTATTTTATAGATTCACAGTTTCATACCAAGTCTCGAGTTAAAATATTCATTATTCGAATATTTTTCTCGAGTAGGTTGTTTGCCTAATCTTGACCATGTGAGAACTTAATTTATTCCTTTTACAAATCTCACAGTCACCTTCCATTCAGTAAACTTATTATAGTTTCTGTTAGGGAACTGAAGGTTGGATTTCACACGAACAATTCAAGTATTCTTGTCTTTTTAAGTGATCTCTCAATAAATGACCAAGGAATCAAATCCCTATCAATTATCTATCTATTTATTAGACTGTTTGTTGAAAAACTAGATATTATTGGCACAGGAATTTTACCAACCAAAATTCTCGTAAGTCTACAATTTAGATAGAGCAGAGCATTGATTGTGAAAGTGAAAAGAAAATTAAATTCTAAAACTATTATTTATCAATTTTCAAAATTATACGAGGAAGAGAGTGGTAAAGGATTTGAATATCCTTGTGTTCCTTTTTTTACTTTTTTTATTTATATATAATTTCACTTAAATTCAATACAAGCATACTCATCAGTATTAGAATTGAAATTTCAACCAAATAAATTAAGTCTAATGTATTGGCGAAAAACATCTTTGAAATTAACCATAATGTTCAACTTTCTTAACTCCATTGAGATGAACTCAAAAGTTTTGTAGAGAAAATGAGTGAAGCGTGATGAGAAGTCATCTCACAACACATCTAGGTAATGGACCTCACCAATTAGAACACGTAGATATTTTTGTCACTACTGTACTTGAACGGTCTAATAGGTTGACATATTTTGAGAGAGAAGTGCACTATAAGACTCTAAATTACCCGTGCAGTGGGGCATTTTCTCTCTAAGGATAGCGCTCTGCGTGCTTCATCCCAAGCTACTCTAAACCTATTATTTAATATTTTAATTTGCTCTTTGTATTTAATTAGTTGTTATTGATTGTTTTATTTTTAATTTTATAGTATTCATTGTGTTGTTGATATTGGTCTTATTGATAAATCTATAAAAAAAATTTGTGCTCTATTAAATTTACTTTCCAACAATCTTAGAGAGAAAAATTTTCTTTTCTTGTTCAATATCAACATGTCTGCAATGGATATTTTAAAGTCTTTGAATAGTAAGCTAGAAAAATTTAATGATAAAATTTTTTTATGTTGGTACCAACAGATGAAATTTTGGCTTATAGAATTGAGTTTATTTTCTGTTATTTTAAATAAAAAATCTGAAAAATGTTCTGATTGTGCTTTGGTTGAAAATAGTTCTTCTAATGATACTTCTAGTGATAAAAATATTTTGTGTCATGGTCGTATTTTGAGTGCTTTATCTCATAATATTTATAAAATATTTTGTCATACAAAAACTGCTTTGGAGTTATGAGACGCTCTTAAACTAAAGTATGGTTCTGTTGAAAAGGGTTTAAGAAGATACTCTTATGAAAGATTTCAAATGGAAGATGGAAAACCTTTCTCTGACCAAGTTCATGAATTTGAAAATATTATTTATGATATGAAGATGAAAGAAATTACTTTGCTTGATATAATGCTTGTTAGTTTGTTAATTTCTAAATTGTCTCCTTCTTGGTCTAAATTTGCAAGAAGCCTTAAGCATAAACCTGATCATTTCACTTTATCTTATTTATTGGTTACCTTGCGAATTGAAGATAAGCATCGTATTTCACAAAAGGATTCTCGTAAATCCCTTTTTCAAGCTAAGGCTCATTTAGTGGAAAACACTAATAAGTCTAAACAAAAAAATTTTAAAAAATCTGGTTTTTCCAATAATAATAATAAGTTTGGTCAAAGCCCTCATTTCTCCAAAAATAAAAACAAGGCTTTTAATAACAACTACAAACCAAAGAGTAAAATTCAAGGAAATGAGTCCTTATGCTTTGTTTGTGGAAGAAACAATCATTTTGCTAAGGATTGTTTTCATCTTCGTCGTCAACCAAAAGACATTACATCTGATCCCAAATTATCGTCTCAGCCTCAAGCTAATGTTATTACCACTAATGTTGGCTCAGATTCCCCATCTAACAAGTATCATGTCACTAGCCAATAGTTAAATTTTATTTATAACTCAAATGATTGGTGGATTGACTCTATAGCTAATGTTCATGTGTGTGCTGATAAAAAATTATTTTCTTCATATCAGGAATGTGGCACACATATTATAAGCATGGGGAATGAGAGCCTAGCATGCGTCATTGGTCTAGGCTGAGTAAAATTATAATTATCTTCAGGAAATTGTCTTGTTTTAGATGATGTCTTTCATGTTTCTGAAATTAGGAAAAATTTGATTAGTGCTGCTTTGTTAGTTCAACAAGGTTTTAAAGTTGTTTTTGAATCCAATAGAGTTGTAATTTCTCGACATGGTTCTTTTGTTGGGAAAGGATATATTTGTAATGGTTTGTTTAAACTTAATCTCATTTCCTTTATTAATAAAAATTCTAGCATTTCTTCATTTTCTATTTCAAATGTTGAATGTTGTGGCATTTGGCATGGTAGACTTGGACATTTTAACTTGAATTCTATTAAAAGAATGATAACTCTTGATCTTATTCCTAAATCTTTTCCTAAATCTTTTAATGCATTGAAACAAAAATGTGAAGTTTGTGTTCAAGCTAAACAACCTAGAAAATGTTTTCAAAATTCTGTCCAAAAAGAAACTTACTTGCTTGAACTCATTCATAGTGATATATGTGATAGCAATGGTATTATTACTCGTGGTGGAAAGAAATACTTTATTACCTTCATTGATGACTTCTCAAAATATTGCTATGTATACTTGATTATTCATAAAAGTGAGTTATTTGAAAAATTCAAAGTTTATAAAGCAGAAGTTGAAAATCAATTAGAAAAGAGTATTAAAATTCTTCGTCTGATAGAGGAGGAATATTCTTCTAATGAAATGGGTGAATTTTTTGAAACACATGACATTATTTATGAAGTCACTCCTCCCTATGTTCCTCAATCTAATGGAATTGCTGAAAGAAAAAATCGTATTCTATTAGACATGATAAACGCTATGCTTATAAGTTATGGTTTGCCTGGTAATTTATGGGAGGAAGCTTTGTTTACTGCATGTCACAGTTTGAATAGAATTCCTTATAAAAATTCAGATAAAACCCCTTATGAACTTTGGAAAAATAGAAAACCAAATTTGAAATATCTCAAAGTGTGGGGGCCGGGTGTCTTACAAAGGTGTATTCCTATAAATAAAAAAAGAAAAATTAGTCCCAAGACGGTTGATTGTGTTTTTTTGGGATATTCTTTACATAGTACTACTTATAGAATTTTAGTTATTAATTCTGAAGTTGCTAAAATTTCTAATAATATAATTATGGAATCTAAAGATGTTGTTTTCTTGGAAAATATTTTTCCTTTGAAGAATAAATTGTCTAAACCTATTTATGATACTTCTAGCTCTGTTTTACCTTCTAGTAGTATTGTTAACAAGAATTTTGAACCTGGAATTAGTAAAAGAATTATAAAAGCTAAAGATTTTGGTCCTGAATTTTATTCTTTCTTACTTGAAAATGATCCTAAAACTTATAGCGAAGCTATGAGATCTGTTGCTGCACCTTTTTGGAAAGAAATCATTAATGATGAAATAAATTCTCTTAAAATCAATAAAACTTGGTTTTTGACTGACCTTCCTCTTGGTTGCAAGAGTATAGGTTGTAAATGGGTTTTCAGAAAAAAAATTAAGAACAGATGGCTCCATAGATAAGTTTAAGGCAAAACTTGTTATTGGTTATAAACAAGTAGAAGGTGTAGATTTCTTTAATACATATTCTCCTGTTTATAAAGTTACTACTATTAGAGTTTTAATTGCACTTGCATGTGTTTTTAATTTGGAAATTCATCAAATGGATGTAAAATTTGTCTTCTTAAATGGTAACTTGGAAGAAGAAATTTACATGAATCAACCTGAAGGTTTTATAGAACCTGGAATGGAAAATAAAGTTTGCAAACTTGTTAAATCCTTGTATGGTTTAAAACAGACTCCTAAACAATAGCATGATAAATTTGATCAAGTTGTTTCTTCATATGGATTTCAGTTTAATAATAGTGATAAATGTGTTTATGTGAAACAATTTGATGATAATTCATGTGTTATTTTATATCTTTATGTGGATGATATTTTAATCTTTGGTAGTAATTTACATGTTATAAATGATGTGAAGTCTTTCTTGTCTAGTAATTTTGAAATGAAGGATCTTGACCTTGTTGATGTTATTTTAGGTATTAAGCTAATTAAGAATCATGATGGTATTGTTTTGACACAATCACATTATATTGAAAAATTATTTAAAAAGTTTAATTATTTAAAAAGTTTAATTTATAAATTGAAGAAAAATATTGGTGAAAGTGTCTCTCCTCTTAAATATTCTCAAGACCGGACATTGTATATGTTGTTGGTAGGTTAAGAAGATATACTCATAATCCTGATCATTCACATTGGCTTGCTCTAGAAAGTTTATTTAGATATCTTAAAGGAACTATTAATTATGGCATTTACTATGCATGTTATCCTGCTGTAATTGAAGGTTTTAGTGATGCAAATTGGATTTCTGACTCTGATGAAACTAAATTTACTAATGTTATGTCTTTACTTTAGCCGGAGGTGCAGTAGCTTGAAAATCTGCAAAACAAACTATTATTTCTCGTTCTACTATGGAAACTGAAATAATTTCCTTAGATACGGCTAGTAGTGAGACTGAATTTCTTAAAAATTTATTATATGACTTTCCATTATTAAATAAACCTATACCTCCAATCTCAATGTATTGTGATAGTCAAGTTGTCATTGCTAAAGTTATTAGCGAAAAATCCAATGAAAAAAGAAGGAACTTGAGAATAAGACACAAATCTATAAGAAATTTGATAACTCATGGTGTTATTTTTGTTGATTTTATCAGGTTTGAAAATAATCTTGCGGATCCACTCACAAAAGGGTTGACGCGTCAACAAGTACTTGAATCGTCGAGGAGAATGGGACTAAAGTCCATCAACTAGTCGCAACAATGGACACTCGTCTCCACATAAATGGCGATCCCATAAATGGAGTTCAATGGGTAATAAAGAAATTGTTTGTTAACTAAGTACACCATTGTAAACTGCAAAATTATTGCATGTTCCATTCCTATGGCGAGGTGTACTCTAAATTAAATTGTGACAGTAATAAGGTTGAGGTATTTAAATATTTATATTTATTATGTTAAAATTAAGAATACCTCTTAATGGACCCAATGACAATTGTTGTAAGGGTGGGTGTCACAGACCACCCTTGGAAGGGTTCACCTAGTGAGTGTGGTGGTGGGGTCGCTACCGTGAGATATGGGTAATCTCTAAGTGACACTCATGAAACAAGTGTTGGGATACAAACAAGTCCTACATCGATAAAATAAGACAACAAATAACAACTTATATAGCACAAACATACTTTAATGATAGAGAGGTCTTTTGGGTGATGACCAAAAGTAAAACCGTGAAGGCTAACGCCCAAAGCAGAAAATATCTCATCATTATGGAGTATACTTGTATAATAACCTTATAAAAATAATCCTTATAAAATATTCCCTCAGACAAATACCATAAAATAACCCTAACAACAAGATACATGCACAAGGTTGTAATGTGCTCCACTGATTAGAACTCAAATGAACACCTTTGTTATACATGTTATGTTCTAAAATTTGGTCAAAGGGATATGGCTCAAGACAATCATTTGTCCATATTCTCTCAGATGGAAGTTCATATGCACTAGGTATAAGGCTCAAACCCGGAAGGTTCCTTGTACTAAAAATATAATATATCATGCTCCATTAAAATATTTAAGTTTATATATATATAATTACATACCATTTTTTTCATATTTAAAATTTTAAATTAGTGGGGGATTGTTGAAAAATTATCTTATAATTTAAAATTTAATTAAATATTTAATCTAATTAATTCTTTTTTATTCTAACGTTCCAAAACCAAAAAATGGATATGGTACGGTTTTTTTTCTTCCTGACCAAGTCTTGCTTTTGTTTCAAAGTGGTTAGCACATGCATCCACTATTTTACTGTTATCACCGAAAAGGTTGCAAAAAATAAACAAACAATTAAAACTGATGCATGCACGTATTCATCTTTTGAAAAAGGTATCTAATTGTGCCTATATACATATATTAATACGAAGGAAAAAGACACACATAGCAAGCTCATTTTATCTCTCCCTCAATATTATTTCATAACTTTTTTTGAAGTTATGCATTCGCCACCACAATTGTAGCCGTAGAAGTCACATTTCTCTGCAATTTTCCATAATTGCAAGGAAACTATAATTGAACGCTGAGTAGAGAGAAGAATTACATTACCTCTTGTACTTTGAAATAATTGTTTGTCGGGGAAAACAAAAGAGAATGAGAGCTTGGTGTTTCTTCGTCTAACATCAGGAGCAACTTTTTTCCTTCGTATTAATATATGTATATAGGCACAATTAGATACCTTTTTTAAAAGATAAATACGTGCATGCATCAGTTTTAATTGTTTGTTTATTTTTTGCAACCTTTTCGGTGGTAACAGTAAAATAGTGGATGCATGTGCTAACCACTTTGAAACAAAAGCAAGACTTGATCAGGAAGAAAAAAAATTGTACCATATCCGTTTTTTGATTTTGGAACGTTAGAATAAAAAAAAATTAAATAGATTAAATATTTAATTAAATTTTAAATTATAAGATAATTTTTCAACACAATATTGTGCCTATATTATGTACATTGGTACGTGACGAAATACACATCTACACACACAAGTTCACTTATCTCTTTCTCAAAATTATTTCTATTACTAAATATATTTTTGGAGCGGTGCTCTTTGGTTCGGAAATCTTTCGTTACACTAGAACGGTCTAACGGGTTGACGTATCTTAGAAGAGGAGCACACTATAAGACTCTAAATTACCAGTGTAGTGAGAGTCTTTTCTCTCTAAGGATAGCGCTTGAACTCAGGCTACTCTAAACCTATTATTTAATATTTTAATTTGCTATTTGTGTTTAATTAGTTGTTACTAATTGTTTTATTTTTAATTTTATAGTATTCATTGTGTTGTTGATATTGGTCTTATTGATAAATCTAAAAAAAAAAAAATTGTGCTCTATTAAATTTACTTTCCAACAAAATCATGGTCTCCCCTAGTGATCATTTCTTACATATAGAATGCCAAACTTTCTTGATCATAAATTCAGTTAAACAACATGAGGTTGTTCTTTATCTTTGTCCCCGGAGACATCCAGTTTAGTCCATTTGGCACGCCTTATGACAAGGAACAGTGTCACAGTTTGACAAAGCAGCCCACAAATCAGACCAATCCATAAACCCTGTAAAGCAAATTCAAGACAAACATATTAATAAAACTAGTGAAAGCAAAGAGTTTCTCTTTCTCAGAATCAAGGTCATTTTGTTTGACAACTAAATTCAAAACAAACATAAGTACGTTACCATACTATGCATCAAGTATTTTATCTCTACCTTATACTGCAAATTGGTCTTAAATCCTAGGAGGCATGATATTGGTAAACCAATAAGATAAAATGTTGCAAGGTTAATATAAACCGCCAAGTGCTGCCAGCCACATCCTCTGGTCACCCCTGCAGTATTAAACACAATTTTCACCCCAAAGAATTTTAAGTTGATGTTCAAGTTGCAAAGATAGCATGTTAATGAGGAATTCAAACCTGACAAGACACCTTGGATAGCATCTAGTAATATGGAAATGGCAAGCAAGGGTGTCACTGAAGCAAACTCCCTTTGAATTGTGGAACTATCACTGAAAAACTGAATCCAGATATTATGACCAAAGCCAAGTGCCAAAACAAAACAGAAACCGAGGAGGAGAGAGAGCTTGAGAGTGACATTCATTGCATGTTTAGCTCGTTCCGGGTTGCCTGCTCCCAATTCATTGGATACCCTCGTGCTATTCAAGTTCAATTTCAACTTCTTAATACATATACTAGAATGTTGATCCAGCACATATGCAACAATGCAAACAAAGGAGACTGTGTTCAACCAACTAACCTTGCAGCCGCACTGAGACCATAAGTGATCATGTAGGCAATGAATTCTGTGTTTGCACTGTAAATTTTTTGAAGATTAACAATAGTAAATCATATGAATATGTTCTTTTCTTTTCTCAATTTAATCAGGAACAGAAATATAAAGCTATTAGAACCTTACCATATTGCAAGCAACGAAGTTGTTATCTGTGAGTCAGGCAATAGTCCAGCTAAGAAAACCAAAACTTCAAAGGCCCAGTACTCCAAACTTGAATAACATAAACAACACATAGTAATAAGGATCTTACATTCTTACATTCAATTACAACAATATTCTCTTAAACCGAATTGCAGAAAGTGTTTTAATCTGTAAGTTGTATGTTAAACAAATTAGGCTACTTCTTCTCATTTAGCTTTTCTAAAATCAATAGTCAAAATGGTTAGCAAAGTGAAAGGTTAGTGATTCATACCATACCATCGCAGCAGAGGGTAGAGCTAGTTTCATGTTTGTAAAAACATAATGGAATGAGTGCATTGAAAGTCCTTGCCATGTCTGCTTGAACTTCTTAGCATACATGACATAGAGGGCCAATAATAGCATTGATATCCATAGTGAAATAGAAGCTGCAACTGGTGCACCAGTAAGACTTAGACCTGACCACTGAACCAAGCCATATGCAATACCAATATGAAGCAACAATGGAAGAGCTGATAGTACAATCAATGGCATTACCACAGATTGTGTCTGAAGAAACCTCAAGATGTTTTGCAAAAAGCTATATGCAAACAATCCCGGGATAAAAAACTTCATATAAAGAGCAGCTGTTCTTGCAATGTCTTGAGATTGATGAAGCAACACTAGGATGGGTTCTGTATAGAACCAAATAATTGATATAATGAAGGAGAAAATAAGAGATATGATGCAAGAGGCTTGTAGGTAAATTCCCAGCATTTGGTATTCCTTTGCACCAAATCCTTGCCCGCACAGTGTTTCCAGTGCCCCACTCAAACCAACCTAAGACAAGAATAAGGGTATGAACCAGGAATTTAATCTAGTAACAACAGTTATCTTGTTGCATTCAATTCAACCAGCTTTGAGACAAATGTTATGATGTTAAATTTGCACCAGTGTTTATAAGGATAAATTCAGGTATAGAAATAAAGATTGGAAACAATAATTGACATTTAACCAAAAAATTGCATCTTTGTTAATCTCCTCTACAGGCTATGAGATAATGTTTACTATGTATATATATGAGGCATGCTTGTTATGATATAATGTTTTCATGTTCTCATGTTTCCACATTCCAATCAATTATAAATTCTCATCTTTTCTCCTGTTTTAGAAACGTACAATTGTACAAATTCTAGACATAGTGAAGACAAGAAACACAACCTAAGTCTTCTGTGACAATTTGTACCGCTACATGAGTTGTGAAGCATTAATGGCAATTGGTTATGTGGGTTTTTCAAACATTTATTACGATTTGCAAGACCGGTATCAGTCCAACTACTGATATTGAAAAGTTTAATTGTCATATATACTACAGCTTGTCTATCCTATGAACTAGGCATATATTAAGAGACTACAATAATAGAAGACTTTGGTTAAAAACATCCTTACAGTAATAACAGAAAAGTATTGTTTTTTATCTATAAGAATTACAAAGACGACAACATGATAGTAGGAGAGAGATGAATCAATGAATTACCATAACAGCAACGCCTGTGACACTGAACCACGAGTTTGCGAGAGTAGAACCAGCAAGCTGAAGCTCACCAAGGTGACCAACAAGCATGACAGAAACCAAAGTGATTAAGTAATAGAACAAGTTGGTAAGAATCATTGGCAGTGAAAACAAGAGTTGATGCTTGGCCTCTTCCATGTCCAACACTTTATTCCACCACCCCACAACTTGAGGTCTTGTGTTTTCTCTTCCATTATCATTTTCCCTTAATAGAGGTGTTTCTGTTCCACCTGAACTAGTACTTGCCGCCATCTTCTCTTTCATCTTCTACGTTATCTCTATATATATATATATATATGTGATGAGGAACCACTTCAACCATACAAGATATCTATACCGTTAAACAACCACAATCTTATTATATAAAACTATAGGCAAAAAAATACTGTATTGTATAAAATTGTTCAGTACAGGGTTAGAGAGGAGAATAATGATCATACATACCTTATGGTTTAAGGAGAGAGTGGTGAATTTTCAATGGTAGCAGGACCTTCAATAGTAGGACAAAAATATATATACATATATATAAGTCAAGATTTCGTCATAACTCATAGTAAAAGAGGTAGCACAAAAAATAAGACATACCAATGAAAAAATTTCAGAACAAAAGTGATATGACTGAAACATGCTGAAAGTTTCAGAAATATTTAACAAGCACGTGAACGATGAATAGGTTCATACGAGACAAAGGTTTCAGCTTTAGTGGTACAGATTTGGATTCACCCCGTTGTATGTATATATAAATTTTTTTTTAATGGTAAAACGGAAATTCACTTTAAAGAATTAATTTTTTAATGCAAAATTCAAGATAGAATTATTCGGATATTACTCAAGTCCCATCTAGGGATGGCAACGGGCGGGGCGGGTACGGGTTTTATGATACCCGTCCCCGTCTCCGCAAGTAAAACTCATCCCCATCCCCGTCCCCATACCCGTCGGGTATGGATTTTCATCCCCATCCCCGTCCCCGTCGGGTATCGGGTATACCCGTACCCGTACCCGTACACGT